CGACGCCTCTCATTCCAAATATGATTATCTCGTATCGAGTTCTAAAATTATAAAAGAACGCTACTAAATTGATGAAGCGGTTTCGTCTATCCGCGCGATCAACTTAGCGTCGGCGTCACCAATAGCACCATTAGCGCCACCGTACGCGCTGCGGCGGCGTCGGTGCAACAGTGGCGCGCGGCGACACCGACGCTACATATTTCGATTTTCGATCAAACGAGTATTGCGAAATACGCATCCGATCAATCTTGCATCTAATTAGCGCGTAATATAGATTCAGCATTCGAATTCTGATTCGATCGGATGCGTAATCGCAATACTCGTTCGCCGAAAATCAAGACATATACCGCCGCTGGCGCGTCGCCCGCGCCGCGACGCAACGCTTGTTTCGCGTGAGCTGACGGCACGCGGGACGAATTACGCCGCTTCACTATCTTAGTTATGCGTTTATTCACATATTCGCTGTATGTTAACGTACGCCATACTTGTGGATAAATGCGTAATTAAGATAATGAAGCGGAGCAATTTGTCCCGCGCGCGGTCAGCTTACGCGAAACAAGCGTCGCGGCGACGCGGGTCGGCGGCGGTGACGACGGTGATAGTGCGGCGATGCTACATGTTAGACAATTAAATGCAAAGTCCACTTACCAATTATATTAGCCGCGACGCCTCTCGTTCCAAAGATGCTCTATCTCGTTCTCGTATCGAGTTCTCTGAAACGATAAAAGAAACGCTACTAAAATAGTGGAGCGGTGTCGTCTATCCGTGCGATCAACTTCGCGGCTCGTGTGCCAATAGCGCCACCGTACGCGCTGCGGCGGCGTCGGTGCAACAAAAGGGGCGCGCGGCGACGCGTCGGCGAGAGCGGCGGCAATAGTGGCGCGCGGCGACGCGTTGGCGAGAGCGGCGGCAACAGTGGCGCGCGGCGACGCCGACGCTACATATATATTTCGATTTTCGATCAAACGAGTATTGCGAAATACGCATCCGATCAATCTTGCATCTAATTAGCGCGTAATATAGATTCGGCATTCGAACTCTGATTCGATCGGATGCGTAATCGCAATATTCGTTCGGCCAAAAATCAAGACGTATACCGCCACCGACGCGTCGCCCGCGCCGCGACGCGACGCTTGTTTCGCGTGAGCTGACGGCACGCGGGACGA